TATCGGACCTCTGAAAAGTATAAGCATGCATATGTACTCAGTACTTGGTTTGGGCCCCTTTTGCAGCGAGTACTGCCTCAATGCAGTGTGGCATGGAAGCTATCAGCCTGTGGCACTGAGGTGTTATGGAAGACCAGGATGCTTCAATAGTAGCCTTCAGCTCTTCTGCATTGTTTGGTCTCATGCCTCTCATCTTTCTCTTGGCAATGCCCCATAGAGTCTCTATGGGGTTCAGGTCATGCGAGTTTGCTGGCCAATCAAACACAGTAATCCCATGGTCATTGAACCAGGTTTTGGTGCTTTTGGCAGTGTGGGCAGGTGCCAAGTCCTGCTGGAAAATGAAGTCAGCATCCCCATAAAGCTCATCTGTGGAAGGAAGTATGAAATGCTCCAAAATCTCCTGGTAGATGGCTGTGTTGACCCTGGGCTTAATGAAGCACAGTGGACCAACACCAGCAGATGACATGGCTCCCCAAATCAAGACAGACTGTAGAAACTTCACACTGGACTTCAAGCATCTTGCAGTGTGTGCCTCTCCATTCTTCATCCAGACTCTGGGTCCTTGGTTTCCAAGTGAGATGCAAAAGTTGCTCTCATCAGAAAATAGGACTTCGGACCACTGAGCAACAGACCAGTTCTGTTTTTCTTTAGCCCAGGTAAGACGCTTCTGACGTTGTTTGTTGTTCAGGAGCAGCTTGACAAGAGGAATACGACATTTGAAGTTCATGTCCAGGATCCGTCTGTGTGTGGTAGCTTTTGATGCACTGACTTCGTCCTCAGTCCACTCCTTGTGAAAGTCCCCAACACTTTTCAATGGCCTTTTCCTGACAATCCTCTCCAGGCTGCGGTCATCCCTGCTGCTTGTGCACCTTTTTCTTCCACACTTTTCCCTTCCACATAACTTTCTATTAATGTGCCTTGATACGGCACTTTGGGAACATCCATCTTCTTTTGCAATTACCTTTTGAGGCTTTCCCTCCTTATGGAGGGTGCCAATGATGGTTTTCTGTACAACTGTCATGTCAGCGGTCTTTCCCATGATTGTGCTTCCTACTGAACCAGACTGAGAGACCATTTAAAAGCTCAGGAACCCTTTGCAGGTGTTATGGCTTAATTAGCTGATTAGAGTGGGACACTTTGAGCCTAGAATATTGAACCTTTTCACAATATTCTAATTTTCTGAGATTGTGGATTTGGGGTTTTTATGAGCTGTAAGCCATAATCATCTCAATTATGACAAATCACGGCATGTAATGAGTATCTCATATATTAGTTTCACCTTTTAAGTTGCATTACTGAAATAAATGAACTTTTGCGCAATATTCTAATTTTTCGAGTTTCACCTGTACACACATACACACTCCACTCAGAATCAGATTGAGGTTATTCCCTTCACCTACCTCCACATAAAAGCTTCTCCTAGGTTGGTTTTTGCTCTGTAGCATTAAGGCCCATGCAGTTATATCTCACAGCCAATTTCATGCAATTTTCTCACTTGAAGAGATAGCAGAAAAGAAATCTCCAAATCCCCAGCTCTTATTGTGACTCACAAAATGATGCTGCCCAGTAAAAGCAAGATATGTTGCACTAGTTGTCTCATTAGGAGTCCCAGGGCTCATTGTGTCCAATTTTTTTAAAAAAATACTTAATAGCCTGGATTGCACTCTGGCTAATCTCAATTTGGCCTCACAAACCGTGAATGCACTAAACTAAGAGCTAGGGAAGGTTCAGGAACCAACCCCTGAAAATGGGCAGCCTGTAGTTACTGTATTTAAGGCAAAACCATGTCTGTAAAGAATTTTGGAGCATACTTGACTGGAAGCTCACAAAAAGTGACATCAAACATCTGAAATTGATTGGCATAGAAAACTGGATATTGTAAATTTCTTTCCAGAACTTTTACCCTGACTGCTAGAACTTCATGGTTGAAAGCTCTCTTTTTGGGACCCACTGATACAATCCTTCTCTTCTGCCTCTATCAATGCCTTCCCTTTTGCATATGATCAATTTTTAAACTTTTTCCCATAAAATATGTGTGCCACCCACATATTATGGCAAAAAGGGAGGAAGGTTAGCACCCACTTCTCCTAGAAGAATGAAATATTTTAGGAAATATTAAAAATATTATATTTCCCTGGATGAGAAATTGAGAAACACGCTCTTGGAGACAGAAACTAAGATTCTCAGCTCCCTACCCCCCCAAAGCAGATATTGAGATGGGGCAGCTTTAGAAATGCAGATTTGGTGATCCATTATTGCCTGCAGCAAGGTCTGGCTCTGAATAAAGGCAGGGCAAAGCCATTCAGCCACAATAAAAATTGCCCTTCATTGCATCACCCAGCAAGCTTCAACCAAGCTTGACTCAGAAAATCTGCAATGTTAGCTATGATCCCTACAGCAGCCAATAGTTTACAGAGGAACAGGAAGCTCAAGTTCAAATCCCAAGAAAGGGTATAAATAAAGCTCTCAACTCCATATGGTCAGCTGCATCAGGACCATGTGCTTGATAGTTCTGCTTCATTAAACCATCTTTCCAATCAGCCTCCATATTTCCATTGTCTTTCTCCCCACTTGGAACTGAATCAGATGGGCATTTCTTCCAACACCAGATGCACTTAACAACTATGTTACTAACCTAACAACTGCTATGATTCACTTAACTATGACAAGAAAGGTCACAAAATAGGGCAAAACTCAGCAACACAAATTTTGGTTCAATTGTGGTCATAAGCTGGGGATGACCTGTACTTTTAATGTTAACTGTATAGAATAAAGGTTAAGGTACAGCAGTTTTGTTAAATTCACTCTGCAAGATTATGACGATAGGAATTTTATTGTGATTGAAAATACATTAAAAACTTTCATTCAGCAATTACTTTATATTCATTTATAGTAATCTATTCAGACACATCTGTTTGAACCAAATGATCCTAAATGTGTATACTGTATGTGTATACTGTATCAAAATTCTACAGCTATTCTGAATGAATAAGCAATTAAATTGTAAACATTACAATATATGACAGTCTCACACACATACACACGAATTAACTTAGTTCTCTGCACAATAACATGCTTGTATGCATCATTACGACATACATGGCATGATAGCATAACACATTAAATTTTCTGAGGTGAGATTTAAAATATGGTATCAATCATGAAAGAGTTCAGTCTAATAAGACATGATTCCCACATTAGTTTATTGTATTCATAGTAAGTAACAATATTCCACTGAGAACACACAGCCTCATGGCTTTCAAAATTAAGTGCAGAAAGTTAGCGGTACCCGAACACACTTGTAAGTGGATCATAAACTTTATAACAGACAGGAAGCAGCAGGTGAAGCTAAGCATAATCACATCTGATACCTGTACAATTAGCACACACACATCCCTCGAGGCTGTGTGCTTTCTCCACTCCTCTTCTCCCTATATAGCTGGGGATCGTTTGACTGCATCTCAAATGGTCCATCTGTTAAATTGTAAAATACTGAAGTTTGCAGATGACACAACAGTGATTGGTCTCATTCGAGAAAACAATGAATCCGCATAAAGACAGGAGGTTGTACAACTTGCCTCGTGGTATAACTGGAACAATCTGGAACTGAACCCACTCAAAAACGTAGAAATGGTGGTAGACTTGAGAAACCCTCCCATATTACCACCTCTTACAATACTAGACAACACAGTATCAACAGTAGAGACCTTCAAATTTCTAGGTTCTATCATATCACGACCAACAATGGACAGAAACAAAAACGTCATCAAAAAAGCACAACAAAGAATGTTCTTTCTGTGCCAACTCAGAAAGCTCAAGCTGCCCAAGGAGCTGCTGATACAGTTCTACAGAGGAATTATTGAGTCTGTCATCTGCACCTCTATAACTGTCTGGTTTGGTTCTGCAACCTAACAAGACAGATACAGACTCCAGAGAGTAATTCGGACTGCAGAAAAAACAATTACAACCTGTCTTTAATTTGAAGACCTTTTTGACATGAGTCAAAAGAGGCCTGTGAAAATATTTACAGACCCCTCACATCCCTGACATAAACTGTTTCAACTCCTTCCCTCAAAACGATGCTATAGAGCACTGCACATCAGAACAACTAGACACAAGGAGTTTTTTCCCAAACACCATCACTCTTGTAAACAAATAATTCCCTCAACACTGTCCCAACTATTTACAAAGTCTGCATTACTATTATTAATCTTCTCATCACTCCTTATCGCCCATCCCCTCCCATTTGTGATTGTATGACTGTAACTTTGTCACTTGTATCCTTACAATTTATATTGACTGTTTCCTAGTATGATTTGATTGCTTATTGTACCCTATGACTATTATTAAGTGTTGTCCCTTATGATTCTTGACGAATGTATCTTTTCTTTAATGTAGCATTTGCACCAAGACAAATTCCTTCTGTATCCAATCACACTTGGCCAAAAAGAATTCTATTCTATTCCTGAGTGTCAATATTTTAACAGTGTCTCTTATAGGCAGAGATGTGAATGCCGCTGGAGAAAAGGTACCTACCTATGTCTCATTCATCGAACAAGAGCCAGCACTGCACTCTCCTTGTTGGCCAACTGTATTTGCATATGGTTTAGCAGGTCTGGCATCCGAGTCGTACTGACCACTGACAAGAGCCAGCGCTTGCAATGCTCGCGTTGAGCTAATGCCAATTTGGCTCGATAGTTCACCAGCAGCATTTGCATTTATAGAAATTCCTTCCAGGCATTTAGAACGCTTCCAAGCACCTTCCACGAATGGTGCCTTCTTTCACTCCGGAAATATCAGATAGTCCCAATGCTAGAATGTGACAATCCCACGATGGGTGCATTTTTTTCCGAGTAGACGCTACACAATTCCAAACAAGCTTCCACATTCCAGAAGTGGCCGCGGTCGAAGCGCGGGTAACTATTTTGCCGTCTCGAGAGCTCCTTGTCGGATCGCGGGAGCCTCCTCCCCTCCCCTGCAGTCCCCAAGCACACTCCTACCTTGGTACGTGAGGCTGAAGCGCGAGCCCACCACCAGCAGAACTGCCAAGCATACCGAAGTCTCCGCCATGATCCTCGGCGGTTGAGAAGTTGGGTCCCCGCTGCTCCAAGGCTTGCCGAAGTGAAAGGCGGGAGCGGTAGGGCGGGGGAGGAACAGAACCATTCGCCAAGCAAGCCTTGGAGCGCTCTGTGGAAACTCCACCCCTGCGTCCTCTTCCCGCCGGCGAAGCGCACTGAATCCTCCTTTTTCGCTCCCTCAATACCCCAGGATAGTTGCAGGGAGATTGAAGAGAGACGCCGCCGGTGCCTTCCGAGGGTACAAGCAACTCGCTTCCAGGTCGTTGTCCCAGGGGGGATAGCGCCTGTTCGTACGTTGAGTGTCGGTGTTCTTATGATCTCACACAAAGGTTTAATAAAATCTTCACCACGCAGTTCCAAATGCATTTTTTTCTCCTTTCTTTTGCTGACTCTTTAATTTCCGAAGAGGGGTTGTAGAAGAAATGTTTAGAAAAAGCTGGAGACCTCCATGAAGTTGATAGGAAACTGAAGTTTCTTCTGCTCCTACCCAAAGCTGCCTGAGCAGTCTGCCTCGGGGCTCCTCCCGCGGCAACTCTTCCAGCCTTCGGAGGTTACAGCCAACTCCAGCTCTGTCTGCTTTTTTAAAAAAATAAAGTTTTATTGAGTTTTAACAAAACCAATAAAACATCTTATTTGAGTACAGCATGGTTCCGGGTTATCACATTTCCATACAGACACAATTTCATATGCATATTCATCTTATGTATTCAACTTCATATCTTATTACTCTTTTTCCAACTTCTCACTATTTCTCCCTTTCTCTTAATTTTCTTTTATGGTTATCTCATTTTCTTCTTATTCAATTGTATTTCTTTTACCTAAATTTCTATATCTTTTTATTCATTGTACTTACACTTTCGTCTGTCTTGTTTACAATTTCATATGTTCTCTTCCAACATTCTTAAGAAGCAAAATTTCCCCTGTGATTGCCAATGGAAGTGCAACACCTTTAAATCTTGTTATTATCATATGAAATCTCATTAAACATTGAATTTGTGCATTCTAAAATTATAACATTCAAATTTCTAGTATCTATTTTATAGCATGTAAATCTCATTCAGACTCTGCTTGGTACTTCCTCTTGAAAATGTAAAAAGAAAAATTCTA